AGTCTTACTCTGTTGCCTAGGCTGGAGTGCGGTGGCATGCTCACGGCCACTACAGCCTCGACTTGCTGGGTTTAGGTGCTTCTTCTGCCTCAGTCTTCCAAGTAGCTGAACCTACAGGCACACACCACCAGGTGTGTGGTTAATTTTTTTTTTTATTTGTTGTAGAGACGAGGTCTGCCAAGTTGCCCAGGGTGGTTCTGAACCTGTGGGCTCAGCCAATCTTCTTGCCTCAGCCTCCCAAAGTGCTGGGATTATAGGTATGAGCTACTGTGCCTGGCCTTTTAAAAATTTTACAACCTTTAAATAACATTTTTAGTTGACCATTTTTTAAAATTTCCAAGTGCTTCGTCCTTTCCCTCTTTTGATTTGCCGTTTTCATGTTGGTGGCTTTGACTTTCTATTCTCATTTAAGAGTGAGGTGCTTAAAAGAAGAAAAAAAAAGCCAAAGGTTTATGTGCTGGGGGTATGTTTGCTGACATTAAGCTTCACTATTGCCGGACCTGGTGGCTCATGCCTGTAATCCTAGCACTTTGGGAGGCCGAGGCGAGAGGATTACCTGAGTTGAGGGATTCGAGACTAGCCCGGACAATTTGGTGAGACCTCATCTCTACAATCAAAAAATTAGCCAGGTGTGGTGGCATGTGCCTATAGTTCCAGCTACTTGGAAGGCTGAGACAGAAGTATCGTTGCCTGAGCCCAGCAGATAGAGGCTGTGGTGGCCGTGAGCATGCCACTGCATTCCAGCCTGGGTGACAGTGAGAGACTCCAACTCAAAAAAAAAAAAAGAAGCTTCAGTATTAGTTGCAGTTTAATTGGTTTTGGAGGGGAACTCCCCAAAATGTCAACATGTGAAAATCTTGAGTTACAGTGAGTCAGAATTTCATTTGAGGGCTTAGGAAGGTAGGGGAAGGTTGGTGTACTACTTTTACTTAATTCGTATTTGAGTTCTTTCATCTTACTCTGGCCGGTGCTGTGCCTGGTGTCCTTAGTCCTTTTTTGTATGTTGTTCACGTTTACTAGACACTAAACCTTTGGCTTCCTGCAGAGGGTAGTGTGGGATGGGGAAGACTTTGCTTGAAGGTTTTACTTCTCTGATCACGGACTGTATATCTTTGCCTCATTCCAGCAGTACCTGGTGCTTCCAAAGTCTGAGCCTCCCTTAGGGGCTCACAGTTCATTTTAAATGACTGCCTTACTTACTTTATAACTTTATTGCTGCCAATTACTATCCCTTCATTAGCTTTCCACATTCTAAAATTTCTTTGAATTATATTGTCCCCTGTGGCTCCTTTACTTTCTTTGGTCTTGAAGGTAAATAAAGTTTTAATTATTTTATTTATCATTTTTGTGGACTTTTGGGAGGGAGAGAGGGTAAAGACATTGGTCAGTTTGCTGTGTTGGATGAAATTTCCTTCTTTGAAAATCCTAATAGACTTCCATTTATTCTAAAACTGTTGATGAGGACCAATGAGTATCAAGCTCAAAGCCAGCCCTAGGGAAGTGCACGTGACATGGAACTAACTTCTAGGAGCTCACATTAACATACTGTGATAAGTACTGTGCCAGCAGTGTGACCTATTGTGGGACCACAGGTGGGAATGTGCTTGCCAAACGTGTGCGTGGGCATTAGCAGTGGGGTGAAAAGGAAGCCTATGGGAAGGCTGGGCAGAAGAGTTGTCTTGATTGAGGTAGGACTTGAAGGCTGCTTAGATATAGAAAGGACTGCCACATTCTCAAGCCCAAGAGGGTGACCAGACTCTTCAGAAGCTGGAGCACTACTAACATTTGTGTCCTCTCACGAACTTACTTTCCTTTAAGCAATACTTAATTTGGAAAGATATCTCAGTAATTTTCATTTTTCTCTAGTTTCTACTTTTTTTGTTCATTCCAAGTATGGAGCACTTCAGTTATTGAATATGAAAGTCCCATTTCATGCTGGAATCAACCCTTGCCCCTCCAAGTACTAAACTTTATCACCCCTTTATTGAAAATACCTGTTGACAAAGGGCTACCAAGAATGCCATATGGTGTTTAAAAAGTTGTATCCATATTAATCATAAGAGCATTATATTATATATGTTTGAAAATGATGCCCTGTATTAAACAAATTTGGCGAGTGACACTACCGTATCATAGTTTTGATGAGGAATGGTTTTCAATATTGTCCATTAGGGGGGTCTGCTGGATTAGCCCATTGCTTGTTTGATTGTAAAACATTTATGTGAAGTGACACCTAATTTTGTTTGTCCCTGTTCAAGGAAAGTATCATCAATCCTAACATTTAAAATTCCATGCATCTATTTAAAAAATAGAACTATAATAATAGAGCATAGGCTGGGGGCACGGTGGCTCACCATATTTAATCCCAGCACTTTGGGAGGCTGAGGTGAGAGAATTGCCTGAACCCATGGGTTTGAGACCAGCCTGGGTAACTTGGTGAGACCCTGTCTCTACATCAAAAAATTAGCCAGGCATGATGCATGCCTATAGTTCCAGCTACTTGGAAGGCTGAAGCAGAAGGATCACCTGAGCCCAGCAGGTTGAGGCTATGATAGCCGTGAGCATGCCACTGCACTCCAGCCTGGATGACAGAGTAAGACTCCAACTCAAAAAAATAAAATAATAGAGCATATACAATTAGTATATCTGTCCTATTTTTTTCACTTAATATAAATGTTTTCTAAGTGTCATTTTAAATGACTGTCTAACATTCATATGGCTGTTCATTATTCACTAGATTCAACTATATATATGTGTGTGTGTGTGTGTGTGTGTGTGTGTGTGTGTGTGTGTGTGTGTGTATGATGTATTTAACCCAATAGTCTGTGTTGGGTATTTAGTAGGTCGCCCCTAATTTTTTTTTTTTTTTGAGTAGGAGACTTGCTCTGTCACCCAGGCTGGAGTGCAGTGGCATGCTCATGACCACCCTTTGCAACCTCGACCCACTGGTCTCAGATGATCCTTCCACCTCAGCCTTCCAAGTAGCTGGACCCACAGGCGCGTGCCACCATGCCTGGCTATTTTTTTTTTTGAAAGCAGGATTTATTGCAAGGACAGAAAAGCTCCCACAGTGGGATGGGACCTGTGGGGGTTACCTACAGATAATTTTTTGATTTATTGTAGAGATGAGGTCTTGCCAAGTTTCCCAGACTGGTCTCAAACCCCTGGACTCAGGTAATCCTCTCGCCTCTGCCTCTCAAAGTGCTGGGATTACAGGCATGAGCCACCGCGTCTGGCCTGTATTGAAATTTTTATCATGTGGCCAGGCATGGTGGCTCATGCCTGTAATCCCAGCACTTTGGGAGGCAGAGGCGAGAGGATTGCCTAAGTCCAGGGGCTTGAGACCAGTCTGGGCAACTTGGTGAGATTCACCTTTATAATAGATAAAAATTTTTTTATTTATATTAATATTTAGAGGCATATGCCCATATCCCACCAGGCATTAGGAGGCTTTATGTGAAATGCAGGAATTTGAAGAACAGTCCTGACTTCTTCCTGGCTGGGCCACATCATGTGAGTGCTGCCATGGTGCTCTTTGGCTGTTGGTATTCTTGAGCCCAGGTAGAGCTTATCCCTAAGGAGGGATATCTTAGACTTGTAAAGTGGCTAGATGGGTGTGATCCAGTTCCTGTGCCTTGTTGTGAGTCCTGTAGCCTAATGAGAGCCCTGTGAGTAGGTTGGTGAGAATATGAGATGGTGAAGCACAAACAGAATGGGCTTAAAGGGTTGTAGTTTTCTGGCTTTCCCTAGCAGACTTTGAAGAGAGCCTCTGGTTATAGCTAGAATTTTGAACTTGGTTCTAAGAGGGCTATTGCCAGACCTCTCCCCACACCCCAGTGAGAAAAGGAAGTAAATAAAATTTTCTCTGAAACATTTTCCCTGGTTCTTGGGAGTTGGGCCAAGTTGTAGAAGAGCTTGTGACCTCTTTCCCACAGTAGATGGGCCTGCGTCATTATCAGAAGTGATGGGAGGAGTTTATCATGGGAATCTGTACACCCATCAGATCAGGGTTAGTAAGTTCCAGCGGTGGAGAGCAGCCTACCTGTAGCCAGTGCAGGGTTCTAGAGCTTACATTTGTCTTTGGGCCCCAGCTTGGTCTGGCTGATAATTTCTCCAGTCCTGGCCCTGTAGGATGGCAGCTTTAGCAGGAAACTAAGCACAGTACATGTCGTCAGGCAAAGGTGTGGAGTCCCTCAAAACTTTGGGGCCCTGAGCCATCCATGCATGGAAATTACACTTGTAACCTCTGCCCGAGGATGGGGACTTTAGGATAGAGTCAGCTCCAGAGTGGAGGTTTGAAGTGAATAATTTTTTTTTTTAGTTGGAGTCTCACTGTCACCCAGCTGGAGTGCAGTGGCACGCTTATGGCCACCATAGCCTCGACCTCCTGGGCTCAGGTGGTCCTTCTGCCTCAGCCTTCCAAGTAGCTGGAACTATACGCATGTGCCACCATGCCCAGCTAATTTTATTTATTGTAGAGACAAGGTCTTGCCCAGTTGCCCAGGCTGGTCTTGAATCCTCTCACCTCCGCCTCCCAAATGCTGGGATTATGAATGAGCCCTTTAGACTCTCAGGTATAGCAGCCTGGAAGAAAAGGGGTAATGGAGCCCTGGAGAAAAAGCATCGCAGCTATCTTGGGCATCAGTCCTTTGAGCATCCTCAGAACTTCTTTCCCAACTCAAGCCCCAGGGGTTTGGGCATGGAAGGGTGTGTGGCTGTTATGGTATCTTCTTACTCTACAATGTGGGATGAGGGCAGAGTAGGAGTCTCAATGGCTGGTGCTTTCCCAGCCTTTTTCGCACTCAGCTGGTCCTCCCCTGCCTCTCTCCATTCCTGTTCCGGATGTATGGCCAGCAACCTGGCCCTTTCTTCTGAGTGGACTGCTTGACTGGGGCTTGATTAGTGTAAAACATGGCAAGCCCCTGAATTAGGCCACTTCAGTGACGTCTTCTGGCCCAGGCCTTCTCTCCTTGATCATCATCTTGTTTCTCCACCACCAGGTCACCCCTCCTAATTTCGCAATGTCACAAGTGCCCAACATGCCCAGCTGTCCCCAGGCCTATCCTGAACTGCAGACGCTGTCCCCCAGTGAGCGGCAGTGTGTGGAGACAGTAGTCAACATGGGGTACTCGTATGAGTGTGTCCTGAGAGCCATGAAGAAGAAAGGGGAGAATATTGAGCAGGTGAGTGGTTGCTCAGCATGGAGAGCAGTCTCTGACCTCGGCAGCAGTACTTATTTGGGGGCTGCTCTGGGACCTGGGTTGAGGGAAAACCTTGGAAGTGTTGAAGTTGTTATCCAGCTTCCTTCCTTTGTCCCTCCAGAGAGGGCAAAACTAAGCGTGGGATGTGGTCAACTATCTCCTGCTGGAAATTTTTCTCTTGTCATAGCAGCCCAGGGAGTTCAGAATAGGGAACTGGGGCCCTATACCTTGGGAACACTTGCTGACTTGGGCTGCTTTGTAGAGGAGTATCCTGCCCAGGCTGTGGAGTCGACATTCCGGTAGATGTGAGTCAGCTGTGGAAGCAGCTTCTTTGGAAAATGACTGCTCACGTTAGCAGGGCATGCCTGTCTAGTCAGTAAATAGTCACTGAGATCCTGCTGGTTGAATACAGTCAAGCCCTGTCCAGGATCTGATAGCCTGGGTGGGGCAAAGAGCAGACTTCACACTCGCTACTTTGTGCGAGGCTCTGTGGAGCACAGAGAAGAGCAGCAGTAGGAGTTGAACCCTCTTGTTTCTCCTCTTAGATTCTCGACTATCTCTTTGCACATGGACAGCTTTGTGAGAAGGGCTTTGACCCCCTTTTAGTGGAAGAGGCCCTGGAAATGCACCAGTGTTCAGAAGAAAAGGTGGGAACCTTCATATTTCATGGGAACTCTTGGAAAGAAGGGGCAAAGTAGTCTGTCTTGGTTTTCTCCCCTGGCCCCAAACTTTTTTCCTTGCCAGTGACTATAGGCAGAAGCAGTCAAAGGGCAGAATCTCCCAAGCGTCCATATAGGCTGAGGCCTGAGTTTGGCTTGTGCGAAGGGTTGGCTTGAGGACTGTCTATAATCCCAGGGAAGAGAACGAAAATTGACCTGGGCTGAAAGCCGGACTTGGATGATGGGGAGGTTGCTAATCTCTGCCTGTCTCCTTGGAGAGCAGCAGTTTCTAGATTCAGTAACCTGCCTTGGTGGGAGTATGGATGTGGGCGGTGGAACCTGACAGAGGTCATCAAGTGTGAGTGGGGACCGGGCATGAGACTCCTAAAGGATGATGGGCTGTGCCTGCCTTGGCTTCCTCCACAGCTCACCTATGTTTGCGAGGGGACCTTCTAGGGACTTATGGGGCTCTTGTGGAAGGAGGCCAGCCCCTCCTCCCCCAGCACCCCTCTACACACATACTCTTCCACTCAGCTGTGCTGTGACTCACCCCTTTTATGTTCTCTTCTATCCCTTAGATGATGGAGTTTCTTCAGCTAATGAGCAAATTTAAGGAAATGGGCTTTGAACTGAAAGACATTAAGGAAGTTTTGCTACTACACAACAACGACCAGGACGATGCTTTGGAAGACCTCATGGCTCGTGCGGGAGCCAGCTGAGACCAGGCCCTGCCTAGGCCCTGCTGCAGAACCACTCTCCCCAGGGGCCCTGCAGAGCCCACCTCTGGGGAAGAAGGGACACGCGTCTGGATTTTTTGGGGGGTTAGAAGATCGATCATGTGTGGAGACTGTGCTTGCCAGTTTCTTGGAGCCTGGGCCCTGAGCTCGGGGAAGTGGGGAAGATTTGGGCATGTGACTGCCCCAGACTGCCCTGGCTCCTTCCACACTAAATGTACTTGTATTTTGAGAAGTGTCCTTCCCACTTCAGCCCTCCAGAGACTCCCCTGGTCTTTCTGGAGTCTACATCCTCAGCTGAAACCTGGCCCGGCTGCCAAGCAGGAGGGGAGGGCCAGATTCAGCGCTGCTTTGGGGCTGGTTGCTCCTCCTCCCCCCACACTGGCCGGCTGAAGGCCAGACCAAGTTGAGCGCACGTGGAAGACTCGACCAGGGTTTTATCCCCCCTCCCCCAAAGCCCCTTAGTGTTACACTGGTTCTGCAATGCCTCTGAGGTGCAAAGAATGTGCTTTTCCCCACGGGGCCCAGAGTTTTTGCCTCTTCTGCCAGGCAGTCACCATGCTTCTCTGTCCCAGCCTGTTTCTCTTGGCTTGGTTTGGACCACATTCCTCTGCTACCCAGGGTTTTAGAGCCCCTGCTCTAGGAAACAGTTGTGAGTTCAAGAAATCATTGGCTCCTTCGCAGCACATCGAATGGGTGAGAAAACAGGCCATGGTTTAGTTGGCCAGCACTAACTCCACCTCTGTTCTCCCACTGCTTTAGGATGATACAATGAGTAACACCTAGTCTAGAAATCAGTCTCTTTGTTTTGTATTATGTTGTACATCATTAAAGATCTAAATACAAAATATATACAGTCTTGATGAATCTAAAATAATTTGCTAACTATTTTGATTCTTCAGAGAGAACTACTAATAAAAATCTAAAAGATGTATTCTGCTGTGATCATTTCTTTATTGCCAAGGGCTGTCTTATTGAGGTGGGTAGGTGGTGAAGAGATGTCCTGTTTAGATTTGCTGGGGGGGGTGGAACAGGAAATCCACTTTATTTCAGGAGCTTGGTTCCTGCTTTAGGCCTGTGGGACCCAGCAGCTGGCACTCCAGTCTGCCCTGGTTCTTGGTTTGGAAAGGCAGGTCCAGACGAGGAAGAATGTGTTTAAACGTTATCCAGCTCTGTCTCTGGGCGAAGGACATATGCCTTCCTAAAAGACTGGCTTCATGGGAATCACCCAGGAAATGAAGAGGAATGCCCTTTGCTTGTGAGCAGCAGGCATTCATGTGCTGTGTGCCACAGGCAGGACTGGATTTAAACCGATTGACCAGCTCAACGGAGCTGTTGTATGTGACAGAACTGCATTCGTTCCTAAAGTGTCTTGTCCTTATGCTTAACCTCCTACTGTTCCACTTGGGCTCTCGGTTGGGCTGGGTCTCTCGAGTTCTTTCAGTGATCACGTCAGGTGGGGCTGTTGAGCCCTACGGCCAGGAAGCACCAAGCTGGAGTGCGGGTGCCCTCTGGTGGTCAGCTTAGGCACTATAAAGGCTAACAGGGTGGCTGGGCCAGGCTGCTGCAGTCTCACGAGAGCCATGAAGCCCTTCTCTGGTCTTTTAATTAAGCCCTCCTTTCTAAATCTTTTAAGGTGTTGTCCTTTACCTGAAGGAGATTAAAGCTCATGTGGTAAGGTGTGTTAGGGTGAAGGCTGTGTCAATTTGACCCAGAAAGTGGCATCGGGAGGCTGCTTTGTCTTCCTCGTCCTGAGCTGCTTTCTGTTAGAGAGCGAGCAGTCCTCAGATGAAGGCTTAGTGTGTGCGTGTGTGTGTGTGTGTAAATTCTATTTCAGAGGCCTCAGATCGTTGACTAGAGCACTCTGCCAAGGTACCTGACACAGGCCCTTGAGAGAGAGCATGGCTGGGCAGAGGGTCCTGGATGATGGCAAGGCTAGGAGATGGACTTGCCCGACATCCTCCTGCTCTCAACTCTTTTCTGACAGGTGTGGGGAGTCTCAGACAGGAGCCAGGAGCTGCCACAGAAGCATGAGGGCTATTCCCCACCAAAAGTTAGAGATGGGAAGAGGACAATGCAGTGACATGGGTACCTTGTTCTGTTTCGAAACCAGATTGCAGGAAGGAATGGGAACTGTAAACATAAAGCCTGTCCCACATCTGCTGCTGTTAAAGGCACATCAAGTCAAGGTTTGTCCAGTTTACATTTTCAAAAGTTAATCTAAATCTCCAAATCAATCTCCAAGGGCTGATGGGGCAGAGCTCACCCCACCCCTGCTCCACTAACACCAATGTTTTAGACTTTGAAGACAGAAAGGTACAGAATTCAGCTGATAAAACCCCTGGTCTCAGCATGTATCTTCTTTGCCTTGTGACTTCGATCTCTAGGCAGCTACTGACTACCTATCTGATCCCTAAACTTAGAAACATCTTCAGGGTTTTAGACTCAAATGTGTTCCCACACAGAAAAGGGGTCCATAAAGCAACTTCTCTAGCCCCAAAGAAACAGGAGGGGCATTAAGTTCTTCAGCCAGGCCTTGCCTTTCTTACAGATGCTCCTGTGCTTGGAACTGAGGAGGGCCTGGCCTGAGAGAGAAGCTGGTGTGAGGCTAGCACAGGCAGGACCAGGGAACGCGTTCTGGAATGTGCAGGGAGGACCTGGCGGGGGCCTCCACCAGCCCCCAAGAGCCCACCCAGCACAGGCTCCTGCACTGCTCCAACCATCCAGAGAGGATCTTGCTCTAAGACGCCACTGTTCTCTCAGGGGCTGCAGCTGGCCTGTAGCAGGCGAGATACAGCTGCAGCTGGCCCCTCAGGCTCTGGATGCACTTGGATTTCAGAACCATGATGTCATCCAACTGGGTCACAAAATCTTCAAAATCCTGAGAAAAGGAAAATGGAGCGTTGGCACTTGTTGGCCCTCTGCCAGATCTACTTTTCTATTCTCCCCCCTTGCAGGAAAATTTGAGAAGCAAGGTCACCAGTTGGAAAATGTGTAGGATGGCTGACATGGCAGAGGGTGGGGCCCACTTCCCTGCATTTGAGGCACCTTCTAGGTAGGTGGTATTTTGCAGGACAAAGGGTGTCTTGGTAGAAATACCTCTGGTCTGCATGTGGTAGATAGCAGGCTGACCATGGGGAGGGACCCCAACAAGCCAGTAGGAAGTCGGAGGAGCCAAGGATACAGGCTGGAAACATTTAGCCTGGGAATGGGGAATAGAGCACCATCCTCCACCTGGACTTGGACTCCCTTGAGCTGTATCCGGGTGGCAAGAGGAGGCACAAGGCCTCTATAATGGCTAGCTTGTGACAACAGACCCTTACCCCCACATAACCACAGCAAACATGAGCATACATGAGCTGCCGGCTAATTCCCAACAGCCCTGAGTGTCCAGCCAGGGCTACTCACATTAGGAGCCAGCTGGCTCCTCAAGGTCTCCTCCTTGAAGCCTAGATCGGCCATTTCATCCAGCTGTTCCTGGTGTGCTCGGATGACAACCTGCCTGGGAACACCAGAGAGGATGCTGTGATCTTCTTGGCCTTCCATCCTCTCCCGGGCAGCTTTCTGGAGCTGAGCCTCATTCCTAGGCTGGGAGCTGCCTCTGCCCAAAGTGGTCGAGGCTCTTGACCAAGGCTGACTCACCACCTACCTCTCCCCTCACCTGTTCTTTCTCAGGATTAGTCAAGGAATTCGGGAGTGCCAAGCGAGATACAGGAAAAGAGACGGGCTTCCCAAGATGCCCCTTGCCTCCCCAGCTCTATGAGGGACAGCTGGGTGCTGCTCTTCCTTACACAAGAACTGCACATTTCCCACATCTTCCCTGCAGAAATGCTGGCATACTTGGCACAAGGTGGAGCTTACTGCCTAGTCTGCAGTCATTTCTACTGCTTGTGAAGGTCCAGGGACCAAAGCAAGGGGTTTGAGCTAGAAGCTGGACTCTAATGATGGGCAGAGACCACGGAGCAGCAAGCCTATCTATCTGGAGAGGCAAGCTTCTCACCCAGGCCTTCTCTTTGTTCATGACAAAACATCAAGTTGGGGGCGATGGGGGTGCCAAAAGGGCTCAAGTCTTTAGGGAAAAGTACAACTTACTGTGCTTGCTCCAGGATGGGCTGATGGAGTGTCCCTGCAGTCTTAGGAGAGCAGCTGGGAGCCAAGGGTGAGCCTGGTCTTGTTAGGCACCTTGAGATTGGCCTGTGTTTGAGATGTGTGATATTCTCATTGTTGCAGGGCAACTTGCTGGGGTCTGTGGACAAACTAAGCTTCTGCCAACTCAGCCTTGTAGGAAGTTTTCTCCCCTGGGCCCAGGGCCGTTTAGCCGCATCACTGCTTCCTATTGGCAGGGCGCGTGTTGGTCCAGAATGGGGTACCCCGACACAGATGGTGGAGAAGGGCTTCCCTGGGAAACCCCAGGAGTTTCCCAGCTCTATCTCCTCAGCATCGGCATCACGCTGCTCACTACCCATGTGTTCCTGGGAGAAGAGCGCGGTGTCTCTGCTCTGGCAGGCCTCTCCCAGGTCAGCCTCCCTGTCAGGCAGATTGTCAGGAGGGGGCTGACGGATGGGTGATGGGGACAGAGCTGGAAGATCACCACCAGGCTTATTGTCAGGGGGGGATGAGGATAACCACAGGCGCCCCGTTGCTGAAGACACTGGCAAGGCTGCCTCTTGATCGCCAGCTGACACAATGTGGCCTGCAGCCGGCCCCTCTCTGTTCTCTGCTGCAAGACTGCACAGAGTCCCCTCCTGGGCCAGCCGCTCCAAGTCAGGGTAGCCCTCATTGCCTGGGTTTTCCAGGAGGGACACGGTGAGGGGGGCCATCAGTCCAGATGCGTATTCAAAAAACGTGCTTAATTGCCCTCCAGAATCTTCTCCTTGGAAAGAGCTACTGTTTTTCACTGTTCTGGTCACCTGAGCTGGGCTGTCTTCGCTGATTTCTCTCAGAGGTTTAGTAACTGTGTCGCTTTGGTCTGGGGATCCGGGAACAGCAATGTGGGACAGTGAGGAAGTGAAATCATCTTCCTCAACGGACGGCAAGCTGCCTTCAGTCTGCTCGGGAATCTCACTTCTCAAGGTATGCTGTCTGATATCAAAGGCAGGGCCTCCGCCTCTTTTCTGGCTGTGCGTAAAATCTACCTGTGAGCAGTAAGGCTTCTCTGCCAAGGGGTCTTTGGGAGAAGGCCCTGAAGAGGTGGAGTCCTCCTCTCTGCTCCAGACCAAGGGCACCTTGCTTGGGCTGCAGATGTGACTGAATGCTGCTCTTCTGTGGCTTGTGGGGTCCCTGGAGTACACCCAACTTTCAGTTAGACTTTGCTCGTTACTGTCTGTCCTGGGGCTAGAAAACAGACTCCGCTGCTGCTCTGCCACCGGCTCCTCAGGACCTTGCTTCCTCTGATGGAGGAAGAACGAGTCTTCACTGTTCTCCAGGGTGTTCCTTTGCTTTGTGGTCCTCTGACTAGAGGCGTGAGAAAAAGAATCTTCACTGAAATCGCTGTCATCAAGGTCTTCCACTTGGGCTCCATTGTGGCTCTCAGAATAAGCATGAAACAGAGGAGTCGTCTCATTTTGCAGCTGACCCTCTGGGGGCTTGTATTGGCACAAAAACCTTTCCAGTGGTTGGTATTTTAACTTCTGCTGGAGGAGAGGTGGCTGCTGAAACTGCTGGTGATAGAAACGCAAATGCTCTTCTCTCTGCTTCTGATGTGGAGGGATGTTTGTCCACGCTTCAGAGGCAGGCCTGGCAGGTGTGCTCCTCGTGCTGTCCTGACTGAACTCTGCTATTCGGTGGCTGTTGCCAAAGGAGCGCGCAACTCGTGACACCAGCTGCTTCTGTACTGGCTGCACAGTCTGTACTTTCTTGCACTTGGTGGGCAGCTTACCGTGCACTAGGCCCTCTCCTGGGCCTGGGGCCCTGCTTCCCCAGCCAAGGGCAGTTTTACTGCCATTTTGATTTTTCTCAGAGTCCAGTGGTGCTGACTCTTCTGTCTTTTTTCTGGATAAATGTGCAGACCGCATGGTTCCTTTGACAGGGCTGGTCTGAATGACCCACTCTTGGGAAGGACTGGAGCCATCCCACTTACCAGGAGTTTTAGGTACAGAAGCAAAAGGGATGTTAGATGGGTGGCTTGCTAGAGGACGGGCCTTCCTTCCTGTGGAGCCAGGTGCCACTGTGAGTGACTGCTGAAGCCCCAGCTTGACTTTTTTGGGAGAACATTTGTCTCCTGGCAGGGCCGCAGGGGAGCTCTGAATTCGTTTTGGAGAGGAGTTGCCAGATGTCTGACTTCTACCGGTAGCTGAAGCACAGCACTTAATGCCTTTCTTTAGTTCTTTGACCCTGTAAATAACCATTCTATGCTAAATATATATTTTTGTATATTCTGCAATTCCTTTTCTATAACTTTCTGGGAAAACAAAGATCAAAGAAAAGTATTACAGTAAGTCCCCTACATACGAATGAGTTCCATTCCAAGAACACATTTATAAGTCCAATTTGTAAGTCCAACAAAGTTAGCCTAGGTACTCAACTAACACAATCAGCTATGTAGTACTGTACTGTAATAGGTTTACAGTACTTTTCACACAAATAACACATAAAAAACAAACACAAAAAATAAACAGTTTTAATCTTATAGTATAGTACCTTGAAAAGTACACCAGACTCATGAACTAACTTATGTGACTGGACATGCAAATGCATCTTTGCATCTTTGAAAGTTCACAACTTGAAGGTTCATATGTAGGAGACTTACTGTATAAGGATTGGGAGTGTTTTTTAAATCTGAAAAAAAATAAGAGGAAAAGGGGATATTCTATTTCAGCATGAAATACCCCTTTGTACCTGAATTAAAAAGAGCAGTGTCTTCTCTGACACTGCTGCATCCAACATTTCATGATCATTAAGAGTTTGGGAAATCACACAGCCCCATGTAAGGGACAGGCCAAAGAAATCAGTCTCAAAATTTTACTGTGTTTGTGCAGGGCCTACACCGTGTTTCCTTGAAGATGGGCCAGCTCAGGAGTTTGTGTCTACCACTCAATCGCAATTCCACAATCAGAGCCCTCTTTTTCTGCAAACCATCCCCTTTTAGACTTCTCAGAGAATTCCAGAAGTAAGCAGCCTTGTGCTAAATCCACTAAAGGAAAAATGACTTATTTCTGGGGTTTCTCAATCTTAGCACTAATGACATTTTGTACTAGATAATTCTTTAATTGTAGGATGTTTAGCAGCATTGTTGGCCTCTACCCACTAGATGCCAGCAGTTACTGCTCCCCATCAAAAATGTCTTACCCATTCTAAGAGACACATATGACTACAGGGAAAGAAATGAGAGGCACCCTGGCAGAAATTATAGTCATCCAGAAAGAGGCTTGGCCAGGTGGTAGCTCTGCCACCAACTCCTGATGAGCCTTTGGAAAGTTCCTGTCCTTCTCTGAGCCTCAGTTTATCCTCTAACATGTCTGGGCTGGTCTTTTCAGGACCTACATAGCACTGATTCTTCCTTGATAAATAATACATAGTCTGTTTCTTACAATTTGGGCTTAGGCTAGCAGGAAGAAAACCTCCCTGAGCCTTCCAACCCCACATTACTGTTTCAATTCTCACAGCCATTTAAAAGCCATTTAAAAGTTGACTGACAGAGTCAACTTCTGAACAAGGGATTGTGTCATTTTGCTCTTGTCACACTTGCAAGATGACAGACAGGCTCTATCAGGTCATGTCATAGTCTTCAGATGACCAATTTGCTCTAGGAACAGGACTATGGGCTCAAGGTCAAATTCCTATTTATGTGTGAGAGACATGTGCAAACATGCACACACACTCACAAATACAACCTGCCAGCTGAGAGCCAACATACCGGTCAGCATAGCGCAAGGTATTCAGAGTGTGTTCAGTGGCCATGTGGCTTGGTGAAATGTTGGCGATCATGCAGATTTTGGCATTGCCGATGAAAGAGTCCTTCAGGACCTGTCCAAGACAGAAGGCAGGTTAATGAATGAAGTCAACTAACAAAGGGCATATTAACTACTCATTATGTGCAACATTCTGGGCCATAGTTCCCCTGTCCACAAAAAGACAACTCACAAAAGAAGAAATACAAATGGTCAGTAAACACAGAAAAGGTAACACACTATTGACAACAACAACAAAAAGAAAACAAGTCATTTAAAAAACTAATATTTTTTACTTATAAGATGAAAAAAGACTAATAATATTCTGCCCTGGTGAGGGCCCAGGGATATGGACACTCTTCTATGCTGCTGCATATCATGAACTGGTTCAAGCTTTCTGGAGGGCAATTTGGCAATGTGTATCAACATGTAAAAAAAAACTGGGCATGGTGGCATGCCTCTATAGTCTCAGAAGGCTGTACCTGAGAGGCTGAGACAGGAAGATTGCTTGAACTCAGGGATTCAAGACCAGCCTGGGCAATGCAGTGAGATCCCATCTCAAAAAAAAACCCAAAAAAGCACACTAATGGTTTGATGATCAGACTTCTAGGACTTTATCCTAAAGAGGTAACTGCTCAATTGTTTAAAAAAAAAAAAGTATAAGCCGGGCTCGGTGGCTCAGCCTGTAATCCCACACCTTTGGGAGGCTGAGGTGAGTGGATTGCCTGAGCCCGCGGGTTTGAGACCCGCCTGGGCAGGCAAGACCTCATCTCTATAATAAAATAAAAAAATTAGCCGGATGTGGTAGCACATGCCTGTAATTCCGGCTACTCGGAAGGCTGAGGCAGAAGGATAGCCGGAGTCCAGCAGGCGAGGCTGTGGTGGCCGGGAGTGGCCACTGCACTCCAGTCTGGGCGACTGAGTGAGATTTTTGAGTTGGGGGTATCACTCTGTCTTCCCAGTGGGAGTGCAGTGGCATGATTAGGGCTCACCACAGCCTTGACCCCCTGGGCTCCTGCCTGCCTCAGTCTCCTGAGTAGCTGGGACTACAGGTGCAGACCACCATACCCAGCTAAATTTTTAAATTTTTTGTAGGGACGTGGTCTCGCTATACTGCTCAGGTTGGACTCGAACACCTAAGCTCAAGCAATCCTCTCGCTTCAGACTCCCAAAGTGCTGGTATTACAGCCATGAGCCACCGCACCCAGCCTCATTGCAACATTATTTATAAAATTCAGTAACAATCTAGATGTCTATACATAGGGAATGAACTAAATAATTATAAATTGAATGTAACACAACCACTAAAAATATTATATTTGTACTTAGGAACATGGAATGATATCTAAAACTTAAATCTGAATGAAAAAGACATATGGAGCTGGGTGCGGTGGCTCATGCCTATAATCCCAACACTTTGGGAGGCCAAGGTGCAAGGATTGCCTGAGCCCAGGGGTTCAAGAACAGCCTGAGCAACTTGGCGAGACCTCATCTCTACAATAAATTTTAAAAAATTAGCTGGGCGTGGTAGTGCATGCCTGTAGTTCCAGCTGCTTGGAAGGCTGAGGCGGAAGGATCGCCGGAGCCCAGTAGGTCAAGGCTGCAGTGGCTGGGGGCGTGCCACTGCACTCCAGTCTGGGCAACAGAGTGAGACTCCAACACACACACACACAAAAGAAAAAAAACCAGGCTTTAAAAAAAAAAAAAAATTAGAGCTAAAGTCAGAATCAGGACTAACCACCTATAAGAAGGGTTTACTGGGTCTCTGGTTAAGAATCATGTTTTTTTTTTGAATTGAAGTCTCACTCTTGTTGCCCAGACTGGAGTGCAGTGGCACGCTCCTGGCCAGTGCAGCCTTGACCTGCTAGGCTCAGGTGGTCCTTCCGCCTCAGCCTTCCAAGTAGCCAGAACTACAGATGCATGCTACCACACCCGGCTAATTTTTTATTTATTGTAGAGATGAGGTCTCACCAAGTTGCCTGGGTGGGTCTCGAACCCGTGGGCTCAGGCAATCCACTCGCCTTAGCCTCCCAAAGTGCTGGGATTACAGGCTGAGCCACCAAGCCTGGCAAGAATCATGTTTGAGAAGACCTAATCCATAGATTACCACTTGCGACTAGTGAGGTGCTGTGTTATGGGTTCTGTCGGGTCCTGTGGAGCTGCTAGTCTAGCTACACACAGTGAAACCCCTCCCACGTGCTGGGCCAACTTCATTTGGGACATAAAAGGATCCTCTCCTGGTCCTCCCTCTACCTTGTGTGTCTTTCACTGTGCACAGGACATGGTGCCAAAAGGAACCCAGAGCACCCATAACTGTCATCACAACTGTTTATACCCAGATAGACCTCTCCCTCTGTCACTCTTCTGCAGCCATTAAGAATGCTGATTTAATGTCTATTGGTGTTTATAAAGAGGCATATTTTCATGACAGAAAAATAAAAAACAGGTTACCTTTTGTTCCACAATAATAATGGCTAACATTAACATCATTTTTCTGTGTAGTGTTTTTCTTTTTTGTGTGGGGGGGGTCAGAGTCTCACTCTGTCACCCAGGCTGAAGTGCAGTGGTACGACCGATCACGGCTCACTGCAGCCTTGACCTCCTGGGTTGAGGAAATCTTTCCACCTCAGCCTCCCGAGTAGTTGGGACTATAAGCATGTGTCACCATGCTCTGCTAATTTTCTGATTTTTTGTAGAGACAAGGCCTCACTATGTTGCCCAGGCTAGTCTGGAACTCCAGCTTGAACAATCCTTTTGCTTCTGCCTCCCAGAGTGCTGAGATTATAGGTATGAGCTATCACACCCAGCCATGTGTAGTGTTTTTCTTATTGTATGTTTACTTTATTTATATTTTTAAAGACAGAGTTTCACTCTGTTGCCCAGGTTGAAGTGCAGTGACGTGATCATGGCTCACTGTGGCCTCAACCTCCTGGGCTCTAGCAATCCTCCTGCCTCAGCCTGCCGAGTACAGACACACATCACCTAGCTAATATTTTGATTTTTTTGTAGGGATGAGGTCTCTTTATTTTGCCCAGGATGGTCTAGAATGCTGAGCCTCAAGTGATCCTTCCACTTTAGCTTCCTAATTTAGAGACTGCAGGCATGAGCCACTGTGCCTAGCTGTTTTTTAAAAAATGAGAGCAAGTAGTAGTCATAACATACATGATCTTATAATGTGAAGAGCTGCAGTTGCACCTTTACTCTCATTTACTCTTTACACATACACATACATACACACACACACACACACACACACACACACACACACACACACGGTGCCAAAAAAGTGCATACACATTTTAAGAAAGGAAAAACTGTATTTAAATTGTAATACTCAATACATATTAATAACAAAAGATGAAAGCTAGTCACATTTGACTTCTGCAATTACAAGAGAAGCTCAAAGTGGCCACCATCAGTGTCCAGACACTTCTGATTACAGAAGTAATAAAAGTAGCATCTATATACTAAAAGTAGTACGTAGGTAATATCTCTTAAAATGTGTATACATGGGCTGGGCGCGGTGGCTCAAGCCTGTAATCCCAGGACTTTGGGAGGCCAAGGCAAGAGGATTGCCTGAATCCAAGGGTTCAAGACCAGCCCAGGCAACTTGGTGAGACCTTGCCTCTACAATAAATCAAAAACTTAACTGGGCGTGGTGGTATTCGCCTATAGTTCTAGCTACTTGGAAGGCTTAGGTGGAAGGATTGCCTGAGCCAGCAGGTCGAGGTTGTGGTGGCTGTGAGTGTGCCGCTGCACTTCAACCTGGGTAACAGAATGAGACTCCAACTCAAAAAAATAAAAATATATATGTACACATTTTTTGACACCCCCAGTATATATTTAGAGATGTGGTCTTTCCATGTTGCCCTGGCCTCAAGCAATCCTCCTACCTCAGCCTCCCAAAATGCTGGGATGTGAGGGTGATCTGGCTGTGGCATCTATTACTCCATTGACTGTCAGGGTCGATTCAGCTGATCTGGCTGACTAAGTGGATGTCCCTTTTCTCCCTCATCGCTCCATGTGCATGAGTCTCGAAGCTGTGTACTTGGTCAAAGAGGACAACCATCCCTACTAGAGGAGGACCATTCTTTGGTCAACGATATACGAGTAACTGCGCTCCACTGCTAGGAGTTCCAAACAAGCTCTCAGGTCCAAAATGCTGAGATTATAGGTAGGAGCCATTGTGCCCGGGCTTCTGCATCTTTTTAAACATTTTCCCCGTGTGGCTACATATATAACAGAAAAAAATGCCTTAAAATAACACAGGCAATCACATTATTACCTTGTCCCACAGCTTCCTTTTTTCTCATTTTTAAAAAACAAAATTATTTTAAAGTTGTGGGGTACATGTGAGGAAGGCAAGGTTTGGCTTCTAGTGGGTGCTCTTGCCCTTAGTAATGGACATGGTATCCAAAGATGGCTGTGTGCCCTTATCTCCCCTGCCCGCTTCCTCCCTCAGCAATGCCCAGCCTGTTGTTCCCACTCTTTTAACTGCCTGCAGCCATTTTTTGTGTGTGCTGGAATACTATTCTAAGTTTTAGCGCGAAGAAAGGACCAAGTATAATGCTACCACCCTCTTCAAAGGTTAAATCAACAAGGTTTCTTTACACTGAAAAAAAACAAAAGACCAGAAGCGCTCTGCTGTTCCCAAGGGACTCTGGCTGTCCTGTACTACAGATATCTCTGCCAGACTCTGGGCTTTTCTAAAGTCCTCATACAGGTTGAGTATCACTTACCCAAAATTCGTGAGAACAGGAGTGTTTTGGATTTCAGATTTTTTTTTCAGATTTTGGAATATTTGCATTATACTTCCAGTTGAGCATCTCTAATCTCCAAATGTGAAATCCAAATGAGCATTTCCTTTGAGCATCATAGAGCTTAAAAAGTTTCAAATTTGGGGGCATTTCCAATTTTTTGATTTTTCAGATTAGGGATATTCAACTTGTAGACTGAGAAGTCTTAGAAGGAATGTGACTCCTCCCCTTCTCTTTTTCCACTATGCCTAGTAGCATCATGCCTTGCTCATATGCTGTGAGTGTGCCACTGCAATCCTGCCAGGGTGACAGAGTGAGACTCCTACTAAAAAAAAAAAAAAAGAAAGAAAAGAAAAAGAAAAACCAAGGTAGACTGGGAAACACTCCTGTGCAGCCTAGGTAAGGGCCTCCCAATTTAAAGGCTGAGAGCCTAGTGATGCTCTACTGAATGAACACATGAATGAAAGAAGGAAAAAAATGAATAAACCAGAAAAAGCTCAAAGCTCACATTTAACTTTACCTGAGTTAGTTTGCTTTGCCTGAAGGGAGTATGGGTGTGCTCCTGATCCAGTGCTCGGATACATTCCTTCAGCTGCAAAATAGGAGAACAAATAAAGTATATCAAATATCTTGTGCAAAGAGAGGAACAGACCAGATGCTACATCCATAGGAAGTTTATTTTTCTTAAATAAACAGATTCAGGAAACCATCCAAAGGGAAGTAAAAATGTCCTGTAGTTTCTTGTTCAATAAGAAAAACCAAGTTAGGCCTGGCATGGTGGCTCACGACTATAATCCTAGCATATTGGGAGGTGGAAGCAAAAGGATTGCCTGAGTCCAGGGGTTCGAGACCAGCCTGGGAAACTTGGTGAGACCTCATCTCTACAATACATCAAAAAGATTAGCTGGATGTGGTGGCACATGCCTGTAGTTCCAACTACTTGGGAGACTGAGGTGAAAGGATCCCCTGAGCCCACCAGGTCAAGGCTTCAGTGGCCGTGAGCATTTCACTGCACTCCAGTCTGGGCGACAGAGTGAGACTCCAACTCAAAAAAAAAAAAAAAAAAAAAAAGAAATGAGGGGGTAGACCTATGTGATTTTTCAGTTCTTTCCTAGCTCTGACTCTAGAATTTCTAACTCATTCAGATAATTTATATCTGAATCTACACTTGAATCTGCACCTATAGGTATGCATGTATGAGTGCAAAGAGGGAGAAGTGGGTATAGATATTTCCTTTACTTAAGTGCATCAATAATTGGGAAGAGTGTGAGGAGAAAAAGAAGCTAGCAAGCTAGAACTACTGCCAAAGTACTGGGATTATAGGTATGAGCCACAGTGCCCGGCTACCCTATTTTAAAAGAGCAGAGTCCGTGGCCTGAAGGCAAAGGAATGTCACTTGCTCACTGTACATCACTAGGGACAGCAAAGACAAGATACCCATTAGAAACAGCAAGGAGGTGGGGAGTTGGGAGGCAAGAGGAGGGAGGCCTTCTTTCTGAGTCATACATCTAATCTAAATGGCAGTAAATGAAAAGGAAGGGAGAGGAGGATGGAAGCAATTCCTTGGAGGGGCCAGTCCTGTGAGTCCACAAAGAATAGGAAATTAGCCTCAAGAGTTTGCCATGGCTATTCTTAGCAGCAACCATGGAGGGCTACAGCTGCCCCCATATCTATCCAAGAAGCTGCAGGGTATAAAAAGGTATAAAAAAATTTCCACCTTTATTAAAAATCAGTCCAGTATCCCAAAACTTTAGCACTGGGAAGATTCTCCATTGGGGATGAACAAATCATCAAACCCTGCCACTGAGTTAACACCTGTACCTCATATACTCAAATTCAAGTGTGGCCGCCAACCTCTATGAGCCCTTAGATCCTTTTAGCCCTGCTAAATCAGAATGGAATGGTCAACAGACTTTACTAAACACGAAGGGAGAAACAAGGGAAATGTTCAGTAAAGAAACAAGGAGGCACCTTTGAACACTTCACAAAGAACATTTTGATCCTATTCTAGAAGACTTGTTCCCAGGATCCTTTACATGCTGTAGCCCATACGAGATAGACATGGTCAAGCTCCAAGGGGTTGTATGACTTCATAGGTATTTTTCCCCAGGTTTCATAGCTGCTTCCTGCATATAGTTTAAAATGCTAGAATCATCACTGAACCTATCTGTGCCTCAGAATCCCAAAGTGAGGATAAGAGAACTTGTTTAACTTGCTTCACAGAGTTGTTAGGAAAACAAAACCACTGGTTTATAGTAAATGTCAAAAATTTATGGCTCCAGGTTCCTTTGGAGAAATGGTTGATGGCAGGGACAATACAAGATGAGCATGGAACATCTTGTAGTGCCAAAAGGTGCTCAAAAAATGACGGATTCAGGTCAAAATGGGAGTTAATTTAAAAGAGCTCCCAATGGCCTAGTCTAGTACAATTTGAGCAACACACAGTCCAATGAATAAAAGAAACATTAATTCTCTGATACAATAATCAAATAAGTAAGTGGGGGGCAGGAAGACAGCTCTTCCTCACAGCAGAAGTTCAACTAATTAATGAGAGAATGATGGGAAGAGAAATCCTGAAATCCCATCAAGTAAACACCACAATAATAATTATTTCAGGTAAGAATCATCAATGGCCGGGTTCGGTGGCTCAGTCTGTAATCCCAGTGCTTTGGGAGGCTGAGGTGAGTGGATTGCCTGAGCCCGCGGGTTCAAGACCCGCTTGGGCTACTTGGCGAGACCTCATCTCTACAATAAATAAAAAATGAGCCAGGCATGGTAGCGTGCGCCTGTAGTTCCAGCTATTTGGAAGGCTGAGGCGGAAGGATCGCCGGAGCCCAGCAGGTCGAGGCTGCGGTGGCCGGGAGCGGCCACTGCACTCTAGTCTGGGTGACAGAGTGAGACTACAACTCAAAAAAAAAAGAATCACCAATGGATGTTAAAATTAGGGAGCAAAGTGTGATGTAAAACAGGATATTTGCATAGTTTCAAAGTATCTCCCCACAAGATACTTATTGATTACAAAGGAGAAAATAGTAACTTTACAGTGGAGAAGCCTAGCATACACCACCTTAACTTAGTGATTAAGGGTAATACCCCTGTAATAAGGCGTGCTGACATCATGCACTGTTATGGACTGAATATGTCACCCAAAATTCATATGTTGAAATCTCACCCTGCAATTTGATGGTATAAGGAGTGGGGCCTTAGGTCATAAACCCTTATGATTAGTGTCCTTATGAGAAAGACTCCGGAGTTCTTTTGCTCTTCTCCACCATGTGAGGACACAGTAAAAAGATGGCTGTCTATGAATCAGGAATCGGCCCCTCACAAGACACAGAATCTGGTGGAAACTTGAGATCTTGGACTCCCCATTCTCCAAAATTATGGGAAACAAATGTCTGTTGTTTAAGTTGCGCAGTCTATGGTATTTTTTGATATAGCAGCCACAGCAGACTAAGACATGTACCATTTGATAGGACACTGAGAAAAGCACAAGTTCCATTGTTTTCTTTCTAAAAATTCATAACTGCAATCTAATCATTAAAAAAAATTCAAACAGAAACTCTTAGACACTCTGCAAAATAACCGGTCAGCATTTTTCAAAGGTGTCAAGTTTATAATCAGCAAAAATTGAGAAGACTATGGAGACATGACAACTAAAGGTAATATAAGATTCTGGACCTGAAAAAGACAGTAGGGGGACTATTTGAAAAATTCAAATAAGGTCTATAGATTAGTTAATAGAACTATACCAACCTTAATTTTCTGATTTAGATCATTATATTGTGGTTACATAAGATGTAACACTAGGGGAAGCTGAGTAAAGGATATCCAAAAAAGCTGTGTATTATTTTTGCAACTTTTTTGGTAAATCTTAAATTATCCAAAAATTTAAGAGGCGAAAATAAAAACATGCTGGTTCCCTCTCTCATCCTCCCAATTTATCCATGATGAGGCCTGGAAAGAGTAAACCTAGCTAGAGACTTCAGTTCTAACCAAAAGGACTTGAATAATACGGAAGGGCACAAAGCAGCAGTACCAACTGTAAAAAGGAACAAGGAAGATCTATCTTTATATATAGCAATGGAGTGATCTCCAGGAAAGTGTAAATGTAAAGTGAAAAAAGCAAAGGGCAGAACAGTGTTTAGAGTACGTTAGTTTTTTTCAGAAAAAAAGAGGTAGCCAGGCACGGGGCTGTAATCCCAACACTTGGGAGATGGAGGCAAGAGAACTGCCCACGGGTTTGAGACCAGCCAGGGCAACATAGTGAGACCTCAGATCTGGAATAAATAAAAAAATTAGCTGGGCGTGGTAGTGCATACCTGTAGTTCCAGCTACTTGGAAGGCTAAACAGAAGGATCACCTGAACCCAGTAGGCCATGAGGTGGCCACTGTACTCCAGCCTGGGCAATAGAGTGAGACTCCTACTCAGAAAAAAGGGGGTGGGGGTGATGAATGTAAATTATATATATTATAGGTATGCACCACCACGCCCAGCTAATAATATATATATGGACGGGCACAGTGGCTCATGCCTATAATCCCAGCACTTTAAGAGGAGGTGGAAGGCTTGCTTGAGCTGGGGCGTTCGAAACCAGCCTGGACAATATAGTGAGACAGAATCTCTACAAAAAATGAAAAAAAAAAAAAGTAGCCAGGTGTGATTGCCTATGTCCAAGAGATCAAGGCTGCAGTGAGCCGTGATTATGCCTCAGTACTCCTGGGTGAAGGAGTGAGACCCTGACTCAAAAAAAAAAAAAAAAAAAAAAAAAAGAAAAGAAAAGAAAAGAAAAAAATGGTTATACAAGAGGAGGGAGGTAACACAAGGTAGAGTGAACAGGGATAGAAACTAGACTTCTCTGAATGTGGCTTGTTTTACAAATCTTACTTTAAAACTATATAAATGTTATTTAAAATAAGATTAAGTCAAAATAAAGAAAGCAGTTATTAAAACCAAAAGCAAAATCAAACAAATAAATCTAACACTATGAAACTGGTAGGCTTAAACACAGAGGAGAATTATTTTAAGTGACTTTGCAACACAATGTTATAACTGTATATCTTTAGTTGGATACAACCCAATTAAAAATAAAACTGCACAAAATTCTTAAATTAGGCTGGGCAGTGGTTCACACCTATAATCCCAGCACTTTGGGAGGCCGAGGTGAGAGGACTGCCTGAGCCCACGGACTTGAGACCAGCCTGGGCAACTTGGCGAGACCTCATCTCTACAATAAATTTTTAAAAAAAATTAGCCGGGTGTGGTAGTGTGCATCTGTACTTCCAGCTACTTGGAAGGCAGAAGTGGAAAGATCACCTGAGCCCAGCAGGTCAAGGTGGCGGTGGCTGTGAGTGTGCCACCACACTCCAGCCGGGGCGACAGGGTGAGACTCTGACTCAAAAAAAAAAAAAATCTTAAATTGAATTAGTCATATTGTAAGTAATATTAGCATTATTTTGAAATATATATGTCTTGGAGTACAGCAAATAAATGTTAGAGACGAAGATTTCTAGCATAAAAGGGAGACAAATATAAAGAAGTTAAATAAAAACCCTGCCATCTTAATTCTAGTTTATTACTATGAATCCCCCATATGTTTTTCTCTTTCTCTTTCTTTTTTATTTTTATTTTTTGAGTTGCGGTCTCACTCTGTCACTCAGGCTGGAGTGCAGTGGCATGATTATGGCTCATCACAGCCTCAAAATCCTAGGCTCAAGCAATCCTCCAGCTTCAGCCTCCTGCGTAGCTGGGACTACAGGTGTGCACTGCTACACCTGGCTAAGTTTTTGATTTTTTTTTTGTAGAGATGAGGTCTCGCTGTTGCGTAGGCTAGTCTTGAACTCCTGGGCTCAAGCAATCCTCCCACCTCGGCCTTTCGAAGTGCTGGGATTACAAGCATGAGCTACTCTGCATGGCCTTGTTTTTCTCTTTCAAAATAAAACTTTATTTCCTAGCTCTGCCCAACAAAAAGACCTGAAAGTGAGAATTAACCCAGTTGTAGTAAGCACCCCTAGCATACAGCCTGATTTCTCTAAATACATTTGCCTTCTAAAAGAAACCAAAGCTCACTGAAGAAATGGTTGATTCAAGGTCGGGGAAGAAAATGTACAAAATGAGCCTAGGATATCTTGTCATACCAGAAAGACAGAAAGCTATCATGGACTACTAAGGTTGGATCAAAAAGACACAAGACTATTCTTCAAAAAGGCTACCATTGGCCAAATATGTGCGATTTAAGCAGCAAAAAGAATAATGATTACAACGAGAAGGTTACCATACCAAAAAAAGGGGAAACAACAACAAACTCAAGGGTTATGTTTAGATATCATGGATACCAACTCATTCTGAAAATTGGTGACTAAAGTTAAAGAATTAAGTGTTTATCTTGCTTCCACTACAAATTATATTTCAGGGTAAAGAGATAGTTGAGGGAAGTTTCTTTTTTCCAGCTAATACATACAGAAGAATCTTAGAATTAAAATATCACCATTCTGGATCCCTAATGAAATAATAAACATAGATGAGATTCACCAATGGTTGCTAAAATTATTAGGTTAAAAAAAGTTGATGGGACTCGGTGGCTCAGCCTATAATCCCGCGCCTTTGGGAGGCTGAGGTGAGTGGATTGCCTGAGCCCACGGGTTCGAGACCCGCCTGGGCCACTTGCGAGACCTCATCTCTACAATAAATCAAAAAAATGAGCCAGGCGTGGTAGCACATGCCTGTAGTTCCAGTTACTTGGAAGGCTGAGGTGGAAGGATCGCTGGAGTCCAGCAGGTTGAGGCTGCAGTGGCCAGGAGTGGCCACTGCACTCGAGTGAGACTCCAACTCAAAAAAAAAAAAAGTTGATGGGAAACGATAATGGAGAAATTAGGCTGACAACATTTGAATCTCTCTCTTTTTTTTGAGTCGGAGTCTAACTCTGTCTCAGGAAGGAGTGCAGTGGCAGAATCTTGGCTCACGGCAGCCTTGACCTCCTGGGCTCAGAGTGATCCTTCCACTTCAGCCTCCCTAGTAGCTGGGACTACAGGCATGTGGCACCATGTCCTACTAAATATTTTAGTTTTTGTAGAGATGAGGTCTCACTATATTGCCCAGGCTGGTCTCAAACTCCTGGCCTCAAGTAATTCCTCCACCTTGGCCTCTCAAAGTACTAGAATTACAGCAGTAAGCCACTGTGCTCTAAGCACTAAGTCTATGAATTATTTTTGCCAATGAAATGGAACCTAAATCTCATCAACTCTCTAATTCAGTGCTGACCCAATAGAAACATGTGAGCCAAAAATGCAAACCCATATATGTAATTAAAAAATTTGATAGCCACGTTTTTTTTTTTTTGAGTTGGAGTCTCACTCTGTCACCCAGACTGGAGTGCAATGGCCGCTCCCAGCCACCGCAGCCTCAACCTGCTGGGCTCCGGCGATCCTTCTGCCTCAGCCTTCCAAGTAGCTGGAACTACAGGAGCACGCTACCATGCCCGGCTGATTTTTTTATTTATTGTAGAGATGAGGTCTCGCCAAGTTGCCCAGGTGGGTCTCGAACTCGCGGGCTCAGGCAATTCACTCACCGCAGACTCCCAAAGGCGCGGGATTATAGGCTGAGCCACTGAGCCTGGCTTTGATAGCCATATTTTTAAAAAATAAAAGAAAAACCAGGCGAAATTAATGTTAATTATATATTTTATTTAACCCAATATATCCAAAATATTTCTTCAGCATGTAGTCAATATGAAAAAAAATTAACATTTGACATGCTATTTGGTACAACATTTTCAAAATTCAGTATGTATTTTACACATAGAACATATCTCAATTCAGAATAACCTTATTTCATGGGCTCAATAGCCACATGTGACAGATGGCTACTATACAGAACAGCACAAATAAGATCTTAACCATTTTACAGGGAATACAACGGATAGAGTAGCATGTTAAACATCAAGATGGGGATATAGTCAGTCAAGTACAGAATGTGGGAAATCTTACAGGACTAGTTTTCTTAAACAAATACACTGATATAGGGGAAAAAAAGGGAATACGAACTGATATAAGACTTTGCTTCTTGATTTAAACAAATCAACTATAAAAAGATATTTATGAGATAACTGAAGAAATTATTATACTGAATAAAAGATAACAATAGGGCCAGGCGTTGTGGCTCATGCCTATAATTCCAGTACTTTGAGAATCCAAGGTGAGAGGATTGCTTGAGCCCACAGGTTCAAGACCAGCCTGGGCAACTTAGCGAGACCTCATCTCTACAATAAATAAAATTAGTCAGGTGTGGTAGGGAGTTCCTGTAGTTCCAGCTACTTGGAAGGCTGAAGCAGAAGGATCACCTGAGCCCAGCAGGTTGAGGCTTTGGTGACTGAGAGTGTGCCACTGCACTCCAGCCTGGGTGACAGAGTGAGACTCCAACTCAAAAAAAAAAAAAAAAGAGATAACAATAGAAAATTAGTGGCATGGTTACATTAAAAAATGAGAGCCCTTATCTCTTTGAGATATATAATGAAATATTTATGAAATAAATGACATGATGACTAGGATTTTCTTTAATATAATCCAACCGGGGGAAAAAGGGGTTGGTTACATTTTCATGTTGTTAACTGTTGAATCTGTGTGATAAGTATAAGGGAGATCATTATAGTATTTGTTCTACTTTTGTATGTTTGAAAAATTAATACAATTTTAAAACTTTGAGAGAGGTAGAAAACTTACTGAAGTTAGTCATTCAACAATTGCAGAAATACTTCTGTTCCTAACTGGCAGAGAATGACCAGAGGAAGAGACAGCAGGGTGAGAAGACAAGAGTTGCCTCTGTTTCCAGTGCTAGAATCCACTGCCAGATAAGAGCATGCCATCGCTTTGCTGATTTCCACCTGACCCTCACCCACTAAGGTTGCATGTAAAGGGCAAAATCTCTCAAGAGGGATTTTTAGATGAAAGATTTCGAACAACTTACTGCCAGAAGACTCTGGTTTATTTCTGCGCCTTCCATCTTTGTCTGTCTATCTGTGTCCCTGGCATCTGCTGCTCTTTCACTGCCAGCCAAGTCAATAAACGAGATCCTAGAGAAAAGATACAGGAGGAATGACTTTGAGGCATTGCTTTATTTTTATATCAGTCAGCATTTTGTGGTCTCTGGAAAAATTTAACAATGGCCTATCCTCAGGAAAGAAGGGACAGTACTAAGCTGGATGTGATGGCTCAAGCATGTACTTCCAGCTATTCGGGAGGCTGAGGCAGGAGGATCACTTGAGCCCAGGAGTTTGAGACTGTAATAAGCCATGACTGCACCACTGCACTCTAGCCTGGGTGGCAGGGTGAAACCTTGTCTCTTAAAACAACAACAAAAAAAGACATTACTGTCAGTTTTCTGAAAACATCACAAGATTCCAGGAGTCAATGTCCATTCAAACACTTGTTGGTTTTAATCATTTGTGAGAAAATATAACTAGGATTTATAAAATGGTCTTCTCAAGGCTAAATGGCCACAATGCAAATTACTTAGGTGACCACTTAGAAAATTTTACACAGAAACTTTTGTGGGTGGCTTTCTAGGGGGGAGGACAAAAAGAAAGGGAAAAAAGACTCATTACTCAGAGGTGAGATAGGCTCATCCATCAGCATGGCAGAGAGTTCGCTAAGATAGCACCAGAGAAGCAGTGAAGGTATCCAATTGTCTTATGGCTTCTTTCAAGAAGAATGAATTAATCTCCCCCATCCCCCACCTTTTTTTGGCCCGTAAGCTCTCTGAGATACATTCCCTACTATTTCTCTGCTGAAATTGTGTTTCACGTTAGAAGCAATCAATGTCTCTTTTAATAACTTAGGGTTGACCAACAATAGGTCATTACTTCATGGTTAATCAACTGATGGCACTTTAGTACAATGATTTATTTCAGGGCTAACAACTCTACTCTGTATCCCTGAAATGAAGAACTCCACAGTGGCAGAGGATCCTGTTGTTGATAACACATATTTCAAAGTTACACAAAGGAAAGGCAGACAATGCATCTCCCTGCGTATTTCCAGCTCACCTGCCAAATGTCCTTTTGGTTGAGTCTTTGATCTGAATTTGGATGACAGCATGTGAACGAGAGGAGTCTGCATTAACTCCAGTGGCCCCGGTGCTACGCTCCTTGCTGCCCTTTAGGATCACCTGAAAATAAAATTCACAGGATGACTTCTCCAAGGAGTAAACAAAGCCCTCTGGCTCCCAAGAGTTGGCTAAGAGCAATAGAGACCAGACATTCTGTCATTGTACTTCAGCTTTTTCTGTCCAGGTAGAAAACTGCCCAAACACTAAATCATAAAGAGTAGGTATCCAACAGCAATGAAAAAAAATGTGGAATACTAGTTTTATGGGAGAACATTCCATAGCTCAAAAGCCAATCTAACTTTTGATTTTATATACTCTTTTTAGTATTGTTGATGGATTTAGCCTAACTAAAATCCCTGGGGCATAACTTGGCTCCCAAGCAAGGTCTCATAAAACCCATCTATCTAAGTAACTGAGGCAAAGGACAGAAATGTGCATCATGGAATGACGAATCACATCTGGTTTTGTACCTGTTCTGCCAAGATGCAGTCAGAAAGGAGCCCAGGTCTGATGTGCAGGAATACAGAATTGATGAGTTATTGCAGTTACCATGAGCTCATGATTTCCCTTGAGACCAGTTCTCCCCACCCCTGATTGGGAGTAAAGATTAACTGGGGTCCCTCTGACCACAAGGGAATGGGAAAGGGGAGATGGCTTCTAGTCACTGAAAACATAGCCATATAGGACATGCTGCCTGATTTTGGATAAGGGGAGGTATTGGTTACTGACAATCAAAAAGGAAAGAACCAAACATTATTTGACAGAATCCTCATAATATCCTAATGTGAGGTGTATACTATTATTATCCCCAGTTTACAGTTAAGTAACAAACTCAGAGGTTGATTTGCTCATAGTCAAATAGCTGTTGTGTGGCAGATTCAAATTCCACATTCAGTATGTCTGACTCCAGAGTCTATGTGGTTTTCACTACACTGTGGGGTACCTATGATAAATTAACTTATCTTGCAGTTAATTAAGGGTAAGAAAATCCTATCCCATTTTTTCTCAATCTATTGCAATTTTAATTTATATTATATTAAACATAATCAGTTTCCAAAATAAGAATCCCAAAGTTGACAGAGTCAAACTTTAACAACAAAACATAAACTGTCTTAACAAGTAGAGGCAGGTGCTTTTTAGAAATTTAATTAACTAAAATTAAATTCTTCCATAGTCTAAGCAATAGCAATAGCATGTTTCTTTTCTTTCTTTCTTTTTTTTTTTTTGAGTTGGAGTCTTACTCTGTCACCCAGGTTGGAGAGCAGTGGCATGCTCATAGTCACCGCAACCTTGACCTGCTGGGCTCAGGCAATCCTTCCACCTCAGCCTTCCAAGTAGCTGGAACTGCAGGATGGCTAATTTTTTTTTTTTTAATTGTAGAGAGAGGCCTCACCATGTTGCTCAGGTTCCTGAGCTAAGGCAATCCTCTCACCTCTGCCTTCCAAAGTACTGGGATCACAGGTGTGAGCCACCACACCCGGCTAATAGCATGTTTCTAAAGATTATATGTGAGATTTTAAATCAAAATGTAGAATCATATTTAAATACATTCATTTTGCTAAAAGTTTATTAAAAGTTTAGAGACTATATAATGAATCCTTTTGTAAAGAAAAGAACCTTCTATTTATAAAGCTACATGGATAACATGTTGGTGCTAATCAGAAATCATGAGCTAGAGTGGTAATCTCATATGGATATGGCAAGTGTTGAGGAAAAAGCACTGCTAACTAAGCATAGATGCTAGGTGGGATGCTTAAGGCTGTGACTAAACCAACAAATTTAAATATACTTTCGCATCTTGGCTTCTCCCTATTCCTCTCACCTCATGCTTACATAGTTTGGAATGCAATGCTGATGAATCTTCTTAGATTTGTACTGTTTCTTTTTCAAGTTTTTGGGTGCTTTTTCTTCATTAGAAAAGTAAAACACACTGTAGAAAGTTTGGTAAGTACTGGAGAAGCATAAAGAAAATATTTATCTCCCATAATCTTACAGTTAACAAGATTTTAGTGCATTTTCTTTCAGAGTTCTAGGTTTCTCACAGTTCTTTTCTTTTTTTTTTCCTTTTACAACCCCTGTGAAAAGACAGAGGAGGTCTAAAACCTTTACATTTGTATAAGTAAAATGCTTGACAGATAAGGGAAAGAACACAGAGAAGTTAAGTGACTTATCCAAGGTCACATACATAAGTAGAATATGGTCATGCCAGGAATTGAAGCCAGATACCATCTTCCACATGTGAGTAATGATGCTACTTTTGCGGAGACTTAGTAAGAGTTTGGAGAGGCCTCAAGGCCATACCTTATGAGAAATTGTGGATACAGAAAGAAGCTCAAAAGAAGGCCCTGTGGTTTACCCCCAAGGGAATCAAGAAAAGCTGGCTTCTGGGATCCTATTATATAATTTTGCACGTGGCTTTTCACTGTAACTTGTTCACCATGATGTACTGGGTACTTTGAATACATCTCAGAAAACCTAACATGTTGAAGTTACCTTTCCTGACTAAAACCCTTTTAGGGAAGGTATGAGGAATTTCTGGTCCTTGGCCCAGTTTTCTCAGCTCCAGTATCAGTCTATCACCATGCCTTTCAGAATCTGTGGAATAAAGCAGCTGAGCTCTGAGGAGTAAAAATGATGCAGTTTGTGACTATCAAAGATTATTACTTTTTTGTAAACAACATACAACTGAAACGTAGCAGTTGGAGTGAAATCTGAAGTCAGACTGCCAGGGTTCATATACCAACTCTACCATATGGTTGTGCAGCTTTCACAAATCACTTAACTTTTAAGGGCCTCAGATTCTTTTCTAAAACGAGAATTTCATAAGTTAGCTATGAGGACTAAAAAAGATAATACATATAAAGCACTTAGTATCATGACCAGCACATGGTAAGTTCTCAGTAAATATTCATTTTTAAAAAGCCGGACTCAGTGGCTCAGCCTGTAATCCCACGCTTTGGGAGGCCGAGGTGAGTGGATTGCCTGAGCCCGCGAGTTCGAGACCCACCTGGGCAACTTGGTGAGACCTCTTCTCTACAATAAATCAAAAAATTAGCCGGACGTGGTAGTGCGCGCCTGTAGTTCCAGCTACGTGGAAAACTGAGGCGAAAGGATCGTCGGAGCCCAGCAGGTCGAGGCTGTGGTGGCCGGGAGCGGCCACTGCACTCCAGTCTGGGCGACAGAGTGAGACTCCAACTCAAAAAAGAAAAAAGATACTAAAGAATTAACATTTTTGTGCAAACTCCTAAAATTTAAACTGTTTCTTTTCATACATGTAAAACAATCAGAATTCATGGAAAAATGCACTTTTATGATCAACATGAGATACCGTGGGTTCCCCAGTATAAGCCAAAAAAACAAAGGAGGGAAAGAAGGAAGGGAGGGCAGATGGGAGGGAGAGGATAAAAGATAGAAAAAGAGAGTGAGAGAAAATCTATTTGGGAGATAATGCAAGTCTAGGAGCTGAGCAAAATTAATGCAATCACCTTAAAAATCATTCAGCTTTCTTTCCCTCTCATTACTTCCTTCTTCTCAAACTTTTCCTTCCCTAACTAAACTCTATTGGGCAAATTACTAAATCTAGGTCCTTTAGGGAGAACATGTTATGCAAATAGTGAAATAGGAACCTGTTACAATAGAAAGTAAAGAAAACTGCTGAATTCTGTGGCACTGGGAAATATTCAGGGACTTACTAAGAATAATACATGAAAAGTGAGCCAGTAACATGCTAACTAAGAAGGTGATATATGTTTTCTTCTCTCCATCATCCAACCCAATCATCCATGATCATCCACGTGCTTCAGACTCAAAAAAGTAAAGGATCTACTCAAGGATACATGTCATTGGTACCCAGCTCCACCTGATTATAAGGCTTTAATCACTCACCTTTCCTGCACAAATGCCAAAGATGACAATGAGTACTTGAGCAACATAGCACTGTGTATAGATAAAGTCTCTATCATCCACATACAACGGAAACCCATCTTGAAGAAGCTCTAACGCTGTATGGGCCTCTGCTACCAACTACAAACAAGGCAATAATAAAATATGAAACAGGTTTATCAGAAGTCCTGGGAATGAATACCTATGATTATGTAAAATGGCTACAGAAATGACTTAAAAGCCGGCGAATCTCTAAAATGGAAAAGCAAAAACAAAAATCAACATTAACGACAGATAAAATCTTGATTTCAAATCTGAGAAATGTGATGAGGTAGTAAGTCCTTTGTAAAGGCAGGGAATTTCTGATGCCCACATCGGTGAGACCAGGTAATCAAATACACTTGGAAGGAGAAATTTCCTGGAAGGACATTCCCGTGTGAGAAATGAAGCTGCCAGTTGGGCAGGCAGTAAGTGGCCATGCCTGAGTGAGCCTGAGGGTGATCTGAGAGGATAATGCTCAGAGATGTCACTTGAGGGTGATACTTGAGCAAACACATGGGTGATACCTGAGTATGAACAGTGACACCTGAGTGAGCAAGTGCTGTTGTTTCAAGTCAATAAATGTTTATGAGGATAACTGTGTCAGATATCCATAATTTATATCAACTTTCCACCTTGCTTTCAGCTGGCTTCCTGCCTGTACAACACCATGTATACTGCAGTCTGAGTGTATGTGTATCAATAGAGATAATATGTTGACTTAACAAGAAACTTCTTTGTGCTTTTCTTGAGAGCCATATTTTAGGACAGAATAGTGTCATAAATTCTTCCAGGATAGAGGGGCTGACTGACACCAAACTGCCCATTAGCACAGTTATAGGCTCCTTTCCCATTTAGTTGGTCTAATCTCCAGGGAAAAAGGAATTCTAAGGACTGGACTTGCCTAAACTCCTTGTCAAATGAAGGAATGGCTGGAGGAAGTAGGGACAAAAGAACCACAGAGAATAGGAGTGTGAAAAAAAAAATTTCCTTAGTGGAGAGAGCTCTGGACAGCTTAAGAATGGCCACAGCCTCAGGGGAGTCCCTTCAGCATGTCCTACATACTTTTGTTCCGTACCTGCCTTGGCAAACACTAGAGAAGGTTCTTTTGGTGACTTTCTGAAACAGATACATTCAGG